CTTTTAAACAACAGCACGGGGGTGGAAATCCTCCTTGTTAATGAGAGACTTGGGTAGTTAAGACAGCCTGAGGACAAGCTGGCAGATGCTAGCATCTCAGTGCCCCCGGGGCACTGACTGAAGCCTGCTGCTGTTTGGCGGAGGATGCAGGCTCATGGGAACATGCTGGAGGATCGGCAGGGGCCAGAGAGCAGTCAAAGAAGCATTGCCTGCTTCTTTGAACACGACATAAGAAGGAGCAACTGAAGTCAGAATTTCACCTTCCCCAGACTGCTGCTGTTTGAATAAAGGGAATTCAGTGGACTTAACATATCCCTGAGCTGCTTTTATGGTATTTGTTTTCCATGTCTTCTTTGTTTCAAGTCCTGGGCTTTCTTAAGCTCTCTCTCTTTGTTATTTATGCTGGGAACTGTTACTGTATGTGCTGCACTAACTCAGCGCTTCTGAGCTTCTGAGGTGAAACAAAGGGAGTTATCACTAAGGAACTCTGTTCTAGAGCACATTTGATCTGAACTGGAATCTTACCAGCTAGTCTGTGTTTGAACTGCATCCATCCATTTTCTAGATGCTTTTTCTTAGTCTGGGTTGTAGCAGAGGCAGAGCCTTTTCAAGCAACAGGCACAAGGCTGGATATACCCTGAACAGGACACCAATCCATTCCAGGGCTGACATACAGAACAAACAATTTTCCAATAAGCCAATTAACCTACACTATCAGTATGTGTTTATATTGTGAGATGAAACTGAAGCACCTGGAAGAAACCCATGTGAACATGGGGATCACATATAAACACCACTCAGATAGCACCCCAGGTCTGGTATTGAACCCAGGAATGCCAACCACTGTTGCACTCTGCTGCCCTGTTTATGAACTTTTACATTTTACAGTGAATGGCAACACCAAAAAAGAAGATATTTCTAGGAAAAAAAACTAGAGAAGGTCAGCATAAGAGACTTTGACTGAACGCTCATAGGTTAGGGTTGACCCCTCGGACGGAGAACAAGGAAGTCAGGACTCCCATAGAGAGAGAAGGGGGAGCTTCACAGATGGAGAATGAATGCAGATACACAAATACAAGCTAACGATGGTCTTTCTGTGGTATTTAAATCTTTTCAGGAAGTGATGTTCTAAAGGGCTACAAATTAGTAGCAGAGGCAACCATGTTACAACGTTCCATGTATTTTGTGATTGATTTTCCCCCTGAACATTGCATTGATTATTTCATTTTGATTAAGGTCTGTAATTCATATTATTTCATATAGTCATTGCTACCAAATTCAGTATGAGCAATAATGAACAATATCTCCCTTCATGGGCTTCTGAGTACTGTGTGATGCTATTATGATGTCCCAACTCGACATTCTCTGAGTGGGCTTAGGTGAAATGTTTTTTGCTAACAATGCTATAGTTAGACTTCAACAATTGCCCTTTTCCCACAGCTGGAAAGTGGGAACAATGAGAAGACAAGAACGAAACTGAGCTACATTTAAGAGGAGACTTGATTAATGGTGTAAAGGATTTTCACTCGATTAAGGGGGTAGACTTCAGTTTAGATTTCTTGAGCTCACACACTAGTTTCAAGACTGAGCTTGACTGACAGAAAGGGCAGTCTCAAAGTGCTTGATCTAGCCTGTTCTTTGAAAAGTTTTCTTATGCTTAAAGAAGCAGGGTTTGGTGGGATTTTAGAATGGAAGATGGAAATCTGAAGTGGAGCAGTAACAGAGGACAACATTACAAATGGATAAATGGGAAAATAACTTTTCAGAACGTCTACATCTGTAAATACAAGCTATTGGTGTGTTCATTTCTTCATTGTACAACATTTTTGTTTGTTTGCCCTATACTTTCACTGTTTTATTGCAACAGGATAATCCAACAATTTACTATTATAATTCATTATTATAGATTTACTATAAGATAAATCAATGTAAAGTGCAGAGAAAATGCTCCATCAAAGACTAAGATACATTTTAAATGGGTATAGATGCTTTAAGGAGCACCATCGAGTTAAATCTTCACTAATCTCCTAATCCACTCAACTCTGGGGATTTTTTTTAATTGAATGTCTATAACAGAAAATCACAGTATTTAAGACACAGAAGATGACAGAATCATGCACCCATCTTCTAAAATTATTTTTAAAAGATAGACAACAGTACAAGCAGCTGGAGAGATAAGTTTGATTGACATCCAGATTGTTCTGTTCTGCAAGCTGTTTTAAATTATTTCAATCATTTAAAGGCTCTCTGAAAAGATAAAAAGTCAAACAGCTTTTAAAGTACATTTTCTTAATTCTTGTGTCATGTGACACAGACGCCATATCTAATTTTTGACAAATCTTCATTAATAAGTGTTTTCTTTAAACTCCCTTTTTAATTAATTCCGCATCTCTCTCTTTCGAAAGCACAGCAGATTTTCTCAATGGCTGCGTTATTAAACCTTCTTCCCCAAATTATCTCATAATCAGCTGTAATGGCAGAGATGGGCCCACAGTTATTGCCTCTAAATGAGCTTTAATCTCCCCCTTAAATAAAATAAATTAACGTCGTGCTCATTGAGTCAGGTAATCAATTAATTTAAAAATGGATTAATTTATGCCACTCAAAAACAGAATGGTTATCTTGCCCGCAAAATTTGCCATCAGAATTCTAATGACTGGCAGGAATCGGGTGTCGAAGCTGCAGGAGCTTGATTTAAAAGAGACAGCATAGTTTAATTTAACTCTATACACAGACAGTTTTTCCAGGGGATTCCCAGTTCAAGCCTCATCTCATTCATGGCCTTACTACTTTATGTCGCTGAGAAAATTACAGAAAATCCTTGAACTGGGATTCAACTGGGTAAGCCATCAAACTGACGTTCTGTTGTATGTGACCCTGCAGTAATTGCTGATGTGTAGTTCAACCTCTATCCTCTGTGGGGTTTTTGTTTCTGGACAAGCTGCAAACTAATTGAGGTTTCATATTCATTTAAATGGGCAGTTGCACTCCAAGAAGTCAGCTCAGGCTCCTTTATAGGAAAAATGGGGAATAAGCATATAATAACATAAATGGTCAAATGGACTCCTCTCTTTGCAAATGAGAGGAGTCCATTTGACCCATCTAACTCATTTGTAGTGGCTAACTGATCCAAGCATCTCCTCCACCCATTTCCTGAAAGGAAACTTCAACTTCTTGGCTGGGTAGTTTGCTTTACAGTAAATTCCCTCAATGCATTGGGTAAAGAAGTGCCTTACTGTTCTTGGTTTTGCACCCACATAGTCTCTATGTGCAGAATATAAGAGTGAACACTGTGCCTGTGGACCACTGAAAACACTGATTTGCTTCTCCAACACAAACACTAGCTAAAACAGTAAAGAAAGTTACCCACCTGATTTAAAAAGCAGAGCAAACCAGAGATGCACATCAGACACTTCCAAAGGGAAGTAATCCAACATGTTCTTTCATACTGAACCATTTATTATCTTACCCAAGTCCAATTTAAGAGCTGATTGGTCTTCTGACAACTAAAAATTAACCAGTAATTATTAACCATGTTCTCCTACTCTTGCTTAAAGAACATAGTACCTTCTTATCATTATGACACATTTTTAAATGTTACAGGCTCTTCCCCTCCTACGTTACGCTTGACTTATGCCAATTAGACTTGACATAAGACCACCATAAGTTAATTTTAAAACTGGAATGATGGGATACATACTGTAAGTGGAAACTACTTAAGGTCACGTAGCAGTTCCATAAATAACTTTTGCTTTTTGATCCATTAGTTTTTTATTATTATTCCTGCAGACTCTATATGATCCAAGATTTGTATTCATTTTATTATAGACTACAGTATATTAATTATGCTAAAAATGTATGCAGTGCACAAATCAGATAGGAACCTTCAACCATCAAAGTATAAAATTTTAAATTAATTAATATCAAATCTTCACACAGCTCAAGAGTGAAATCCGACTCATGTAAAATTTGAATTACTGTATGAAACGGTTGCTGGATCTGAACTCTTATATGAAGCCACATTTGCATTTAATATACTAATGAATAGCCACATTTGCATTTAATAGCCACATTTGCATTTAATATACTAATGAATAAAATATAACAATATATAGTATGCATAGACATAAAGGACATAAGTTATCCTCCCATATATGACAATTAAAGTATTAATGCATTGGCTTTGTTATGAAAATAACATTGATCAACTAAAAGAAACAACAGTAATCACAAACTAGTCTACTAAAATAAACAGCATGAAACCCTCCCCTGTGTCCTTCCTGTATGTTCTCTCTCTGCCCTTGTGATTAGCATTCTTCACTGTAATGAAAAGGGTAATAAACTCTCAGTGAGACTGTAAAGTCGCCTCCAGCCTACTATTCCCCACATTATCGATACAGAACTTTGTTCGAGTATGAAAACAAGAACACGATGAGATGCGGTGAGGTCAGTGCCCTAACTGGGGTGTCAGTGCGTAGCAGGGACCTCAGCTGCCTGGGCAGAGGGAGGTCTCTTTTAGCTCATGCGGCTGGTTCCCTGTTGCGTTACGCTGGAGACCCGGGTTCACGCCCCAGGTGCTGCGGGACATGTATTAGAATTGAATATAGCACCTTTCATAGTATAACATCATTTAGTCTGCTCAGGACTGCGTGGCCTAAGGGCTGCTGTCTGTTTGTTGTTACTCTCAGCTGCTGGAGGAACACTATTCTCCAATCGTTCGTGCCACAGAAGCAGTCATAAGAATGACAGACAGCCCCGTTGCTGGACAAAACAGAATCAAATATCTTAAAAGAGAGAATGAGGAGGACCTGTCAGGATGTGAATAATGCTTGGACAAAGTGCAGGCAGGTTACAGAAACAGCTATAGCAGCATGAGATGACATGCACTGCGTACCAGAAACCCAAGCCTTGAAACCCAACCTTTAAGGACCGCGCATTGGCGTTTCAACTCGTGTTCTTGACAGACGGGAACATGGAGCTGAGCCTCAGCTCAGAGTTACCTCGATTGAGGGAGGGCGTGCTGTTGATGTCCCCGGCCATGAAAGACGACTCGGTCTGTTTGCGCACCGTGTCGTTCCACATCCTGCGAATCCGGCTCTGAAAGACATGGAGGGGAAGAGAGAAAGGGCCAGGAGAAGGGAAGTGAGTTATGGGCCATTTTATGAATTCACAGAGATGGCTCAGCAACAACACAGCTGTATCTGATTTCCCTCACCTACTGTAAAGACAGTTAAGGGGTGACACATGCATACTCTGGGCTACAATCAGATGTGCTGTTGAAGATTGAGCACAGCCTGTAGTCTTAGTCTGGAAATCCAGCATAGGAAGCACAGCTGTTTAAAAGGCTGTGCTGTTGCTGTTAAGAAATGCAGTAATTTGAATATTAGAGCCAAGAGTTAATATCAAAGAAATGGACGTTTTATGAATTAGATCCCCCTTCCTCCACAACACACAAACACACCCTGATGTGACTGAGACAGGTGTTACTGCTAACGGCATGTGCATGCTTGGTCCACTGTGGGAATCTGGTCATTTAATCTTAAGTGTTTCCCTTTGACATAGTACTGTGACTAGAAAAGTGCAATTTGCTTTTTTTTTTTTGCTGTAACTCCCAGATGAAAGCTTGACTTGGAAGATCACAGTTCTTTTGCAAATAGGTTGACCACAGTTTTGCTGTAGTTTGAATATGCTTTCATTGTACTGCACTGCACCATGGGAGTGTCATGACTACTGGACCATGATAAGTGCTCCAGTGTTCCTATGGTGCAGTGGACTAAAACGCCGCTACTAAAGGCTTGTTGAAATAATAGGAAACCACAGCACAGCAATGGCAAAACCAGGACAAGAGTTCTAAAATACTATTGCAGCCAAAGTAAACTCTCAAGATGGTATTCATATGCCTACCAAATATGTGTTAAAATTGAAGGTTCTCTTGACCTTTTATAGGTTCCTCAATTCAAGACACAATAACAGTAAAGAATTCAGTAGTTTTTTCCAAAACTAAAAACTAATTAAACAATTCAATCCACAAAAAAACATAAATTTATTTGAAATTGCATCATGGCAAATATTGCCAAAACATGGCATAGTTTTGAGTAGATTTTATAGTAGAACAATAGTAACACCAGCAAAAGAAAGTCCTGCCCACCTGAAAGAACAGAAGCCAAATGAGTAGAATTTTAATACAATGTTGATGGGTGATGGGAGTCAGATGTTCGTAACTTTATTGGATTTTAAGTCTTGATTGCTGTGATATGCGGCAGTTATTTACACCTGCTTAAAATGTGTGTGAAGGATGTTGATGAAACCACATCTGAGCAAGGATTATATATAATGGTGTAGTGATGTGCATGTCTTGCTTCATCTCTCATGATGAAGTCACAGTTGAAGTACAGTATATTGGTTGAGCATTTTTTGCTTAAATTATAAATTACCCCCACACCCAAGGTTAAGAGCGCCATATTAACATTTGTGATTTTGCCTTCCTGAGTGCTAATAATTATTGCTTTTTATAATAATAACAACCTTTGAATATAGCACCTTTCATAGTATAACATCTCAATACATTGTACAACAAAATAATATTATTATTAATACTAATACTAATCACACCACCACCTACAACAATAATTACCATCATCATCATCCTAAATCCTACCACCATAAACACCATAACATTCCATATCAATTAAAAAGCCTTGAGCAGGCACCAAGATAATATTTATTAAAATGCAATAAGACTCCAGCTCATGATCCTACAAAGTATGTTTCATATAAATGTTATACCTGCACTAGTTAAACAGCTACTGCACAGTAAAAGAAAAGCCCAGATGATGACTACTTGGGCCCGATAATGAATTCTAAGCCTCCCAGGAAAATGAGAAGCAATTCTGCACATTTTCTTATAAAATGAACTAGAAATGAATTTGGCATAGATTGCAAGTTAGGAATTCAACTGTGAGCACAATAAGCACTTGGTTTTTCAGAACAGTGAGCACACGTATTTGACCTTAAATGCATCAGATCCTGCTCAGTTAATTTAAAATTGAAAATTATGTTCCTCCTCTCATTTTGTCCCTCAGTGTGAGGGAGCCTGTTTATATTTGCTTGCAGATCACAGCTGCATTTTTCTTTCTTTCTTCATCTCAGCGGTCCCAGCTGTCATTGATCAAGCTGTATGTTTATGATGAGGCAGAATAAGTGATTACTATTTTCCAATCTGTGCCACACTCTTAGCCTGTACTGTCTAGTTGACTAATACTTGGTGCATTCAGGACTGTATCCCCAAAAAGCATGTCCACGTCATGTGTGAACAGAATTGAACTCAGATATTTTGAAAGTAAGAACAAGCAGGCTAAAACAGGAGGAGAAGCAGCAAGTTCCTTTTTGTTTTAAGCATCTGCCTTCAAATATTCAAAAAGGGAAACGCAAATACGGTCTTGTGAGAAGAAAGCAGATCCTCGTAGTATTGTTTTGTAAGTAATAGGCTTTAGCTGATCTCTTTAAATCTCGAATGAGAACCGATATTTGCATTTGTGGTGATCCTTGAGAAAGGTGCTCTACATAAATAAGCATCTGTTGACTAACAGGCCCACTACCTGTCTGTGTGCTGATCCGTGCCGTGCCTGGCTGCCTGTGTAGTAGCGGTTGTTGGTCCTCATGGCTGAGGTCTTGAGGGAACCATGGGAGTTTGCATTGGAGGTTCGGCTACAGCAGTATGAGTGGCGCAGACACTTGCTGTACTCCTTGTGGACCTGCAGCACAGGGTATATGTCAAAGATGAGCCACCAGATTAAATCACCGTTGTCAAAGGATTGAGGATCATCTTTAGTCTTTAATGGTGGATTACAAGGGGATCCAATTCTACCAATCCAAATCCTGAATTGGAACTAATAAAGTCAATCCATAGAAGTGCTTTGGATTTCAGGATGAAACAAGCCCCTGAGTCTTGACAAAAACAAAAGCAGGCATCTGAAATTCTACCATAAATAGCTTTATTGCGGCACTGATTAGTTACTAATGGAATGAAAAAAGTATGACTCCACTGGTTACATGTCTGTATGAAAATTCACGAATAACCCAGGCAGACTTCACTTGGAGGCAGCAGGAAACCAAAGGTATCAAATTAAAGGTTAGGTGCAAGTATGGGGGAGAGAGTATGTGTGGTGAATTGGTACACACAACTGGAGTGTGGAAACATTTTTATATACAAAAGCACTTCACAACTTCTAAAGAAAAGGTCTTGATATCACACCCAGGATGTCCCAGGTTGGTTTGTAGAGGACATCACCTACACCACAGGGTGTGATTTAGCCAGATGGGACTGATCAATGAACATTTAACCACACCACACTTCTGCATCCAAGGTGCCCATGCCAACTGAATTGGAGTGAGGAACAGATGGAGACATGAAGAGGGAGAGACGGCTTTGTGAGGCCTTTTGAAATAAAAGGTACTGCCCAGAAGAGCCAGAGGGGATCAAGTGCTCTCCTGGTGTTTATAACCTTTCTTGTGCTTTCTGGATCTAATTAAATAAAACATAAATGAAGCAGACTATGAGAGTCACTCACTGTCTGCTCAAGTTCTTTCCAACAGATTGCTACCCTCAACCCTTAAATTTCTTTAATTGTCCCTTTCAAATTGCTTTCAGCCCTTGTACAACTTGTACTTGGAGAGTACAGTAGGTCTTCAATATGTGTAGGCCTCATTGTATCTAGGGCTGCAGGTTTTCAGAGTTTATTTCTCAAATTAAATGTGTTTATTTATTGTCTACATTCATTAGAAATTATATGATTATATTTATGTGATGTAAGGGGGTCTTAAAGGTACCTTAAAGCCTATCATGGACACTTCTTTGGCCTTTTTGGTGATGGCACACACTAAAGTGAGCTCTCTTACAAGGACACTTTTTTGGTCTTGGTGTTGGTCCATACCAAAGTGACCTTTCTTAAAGAGTCTTTCTCTTTGGTCTTGCAACAGATGGTGCAACTGACCTTCTTCTGCAGGGCGCAGTGGAAGATGAAGATGAACATGCCCTGGAAAGCGTTGAAGGTTGTGAAGAGGTAGGCCATGATGACGGTGTTTTCGTTGATGAACAGAAGACCAAATGCCCAGGTCAGACCCAACAGGAAAAGCAGAGCAATCGCCCCCAAAGCCCACGACCTGGAGAGGCGGAGAAGGAAGGAGAGAAGGATTAGAAAGTGGTGGTAGGGTAGGAATGTGATAGAGAGGAGAGGCAAGGGAAAGACGGAGAGGAGGAGAGGGGAAGAGAAAGAGAGGTGGAGGAGGATTGGAGAAAACATCCGTCAAAGGGCAGAGAGAAATGACCTCACCTCCACCAGCTGCTACTAAAACAAGTCTCCACTGCTTTTCTCTGTTCTGATATCAGCATGCCAACAGGCACAAGCTTGCATTGTAGAGAAGGTATTTCTTATGGTTTAATTTCTACAATTCTGTCTCATATGATCCCATGGAAATGTAACCCCAAGCCCCATATAAAAAGAACATGAAACATTTTTTGTTTAAAATCAGTGACAGAAGAACCCTGCTGAAAATCCACACTAACCGCGTTCCACACTTTCTGCAGCCTTTTGTAGTTGGTTTGATCCCCTGTTGGCACTGACAAGAGCTGAACTACAACAGGGACTGAAAACAATGAGAACAGCAACAAAAAAAACTTATGGAATCCACACAGTTTTACACAGCTCCCTTTCTGTCCAGGACCAAGGTGAATATGTTAAGCTCTGTGAGCTAGCTTCCATCTGTAATCCCCCAAACACATACTGCCTTTCTTGGGAGGAGAAAGAGTTGGAGCTGTACACAAGTGTGAGGATGTCATGTAGACTCCAAAATGAAATATCTGCACCCAGGGGCAGAACTGAACACATTACTTTTAGCTGTAAGGCAGCAGGATTATCATTGTGCTAGGTTTAAAACATGACAGGATAAATTCTGGGAATATAATATTTGGAACATTGATAAGAAAGGCCATGCTGCCTCTTTCCGCAATCCCCCAATCTGCTCTAAATCCCAATCGCCACTATGGCACCCTGTCCTATACTTAGTGAGATTCTCCCCACACAGGGACTCACAATTGCCTCCTCTCCTCCCTCCTTCCTCCTGCTCTCCATGTGGATGTGCGTGGCCCCCTTAACCTAGCAGAGTGAGTGCCAAGCCACATGCCTCCTGCCACCTGCTCACCAGCACGCACCAAGATGCGTGGCAGCACACTCCCACCGAGCTCTGGCTTGGCTGGCTGGCTGGCTCAGGCTCTTTTTGTGATGCCAGGGCTGTGGCAGCCACACTGCAGCTGTCAGGATTAAGAAGCTGCTCTGAGTGGGATAGAATTCACAGCTCCGTAAAAGCTGGCCATGATTTCTGAACCAGCAGGGGAGAGGAGTGGTGTCACCCCAACATCACAGAAAGGCACTTTTAAAAAAAAAATCTGCTGACACCACTGCTGCCTGATGCTCACAGCCATGTGATATGTTAATAAAGGCAACAAGAAAAACAACTCTCACCGTGCCCCTCACAATGATTTCAACTTTTTATTTTCCAGAACGACAAAGAAAGAGAGCAGTGCACAGGGCACACAGGGGAAAGAATAGGCTGTTTTTCCTCTCTCTGCTCCTTATTTGGCATGGCACCGACTTCTGTTTTTAAAAAAAACCTTTCAACTATGTTCTTCTTATTGCTCTCTCTATAAATAGAAGTTCCAGTGATGATTACAAATTGTACAAAGCTCCTTTTTGTTCAGTTTGTGCTAAGCTAAGTTCATTATTTGCTATTATGCTCCTTTTATTCCATTTTGCTTTATGTAGAGAACTATAAGCTGTTTTATCTCATTACAAGTCAATCTCTTAATATAACACATTTGGAGTTTTGGCCCTGGGGAGTCATAATAGAGCCTAAGACGTATCTGTACCTTTCTTTTGCTCAGAGCTGTTTTATGAGTCGGCTAGGCAGTACGAACACCATACTGTAGCGCCCCTTCATTGCAGTTGCCTTTTCTAGTCATATGTGCTTTGAGGGATCATTGTCTGTGATTCTAAGTGTTTTTTTTTCCCAGCTAAATTAGGAGAAACAACCAGGTTGGAGGAAGCACCTCACTGTTGCACCTGCGTGACACCGCCATACTCCCCCCCCCCCGATGTGTGCTTCTGACAAGCTTCCAGACAGAAGCAAAAGAAAGGGATTCACAAGAAAAAAAAGGAAAGAAATACGAGAGTAAGGTAGATGATTCACCATGACTAACCATGTGAAGCTAGTGGACTTTCAGAGCTGCTGACAGGTACCAGGACATCCTGTCCCCCATTAAGAAGAAATAAACGTCTCAGCCAAGCGGGAATTTTACAACCTGCTGTAAATCTGACAACATACACACAGCAAAGCCCCGCCATGGCCCAGTCGTCTTCACAGCAGTTTACGAGCTCAGGCACCGAGTCAAATCCCCTATTGATTTCCCATTAGGACACTGACACTGACGGCCTTAAGCCAGGAGATCATTTATTTAAAGCTGCATACTGACTGCTGCTTTGAATTTGCGGTTTGTGGTAATGAGGAAAGGCGGTTCATGCCTTTAAGAATGCGTGCATATGTGGGAAAAGAAACAGAAAATTTACTGTCAGAATTATGATAAATATAACAGGTCACACTGCCTGGCAGATGGTACAGAATCCAAGCAGGACAGGCAGTGAAAGCCCCCCATGTGCCTGCAGGCCCACCAGGTGGCCACTCGGGGGCAGTGTTGAACTGCAGTCCTGTCCTTGGGGGCTCTTAACTGCAACTGCTACAGAACTCCTGGCCAATGCTCAATGCTCTGTAGAGTGAAACAGGCTCAGGACTTCACCCCACACTCTGAGCAGATTTGCAACATTGTAAAGCTCATTTTCATTCCTTTATTGTAGCGGGCAATCCTGATACTTATCTGATGGTTAACAAGAAAAAGAAGAGAATAAAAAGCAAACTTCAAACCATGACATCTTTTGTGATCACAAATGCCACTGGTCATGTAGCAAATGGATTCCCCACACATTAATAATGCTGGAGCCTAGGAGCTCAAGAGGTTAAGGAGGTTAAGGTGAAGGACATCTAAGTAGGAGATACCAGGTTCAAACCTCAGATGAGCTCTAAAGCCATGGGCCTGAGGTAAATCATCCAGCTGTTTCCCATAAGTTGCTTTGAATAAAGGTATTCTCTTCATAATCATTTTCTTAAAGTGTTGGTATGGATTCGAGTTAGTGCAAGTTCATTGTCAGTTAAAGAGAATTAAGGCTCAGAGAATTGAACTCTTTTAAGCATGTCAAGCTTTATTTGCAATCATTCATCTCCTTCTCAGTTCATGATTGCACTTACAAATTGCCCTGTTTCTGTGAGATGGTGTTGTATGGAGTTATGGCAGCCCAAGTTCTCATCCTGGAAAGGTAGCAATTTAGTACACAATGTCACCAGTAAAGCTTGAGAAAGCGCTGGAAAACAATTAGGCCAAGCCTGACAGGATGGTCAAATGGATGGCTCCCATACTGCCTGGGAGATGCTGCTTTGATTGTCCTAGTTTCCCGCACTGGGTTCTGATTGGTGGTGAGTCTGGTACCACTCTTCTTACTGTCAGATACAGCACAGCAGCGCTGGCCTCGGTCGCGCATCAGTCTACCAGCTGTGGAGGCATTGGCACCAGAATTTACAAGGGAGAGTGCCTGCGCTCTGGTTGAGCACAGCCTGGCAGCTCTTCTGAGGAATCCTGCCACACACCCACCCTTGCCAGCCTGGAGAGGCCTATCTGTGCTTCTAATTGTCTAATTATGTGAGACTCAGAAGACAGGAGACTGCACAGGAGCCACCAGAGGTCTGGGAGAGAGATTGGTTTGCCTCAACCTTTGTTCGGCACCAAGAAAAGAACCCTGCAGCTTGGCTTTGGCTGGGGAAGAGTAAGTTTTCAGTATGTTACTGTTCTAGAAATTTCTTATCAATCAAAGTGGTCTTTCACTCAATCACAAACATACTATGCTGGCTTGGAAATGACAAGACAACAGTCAGGTTTGCAAAAGAAAGGCAGCTACAACTTATTTCTAATTCTCCAGTAAATTATGTAAAACATTATTTCTGAGCACTCCTTTCTTAAAAAGATCATTCATTTTCAAAGATTTAGAAATACCATGTGCAGAGAGGATGAAGAGGAAAAATTATTCTCCCTTCTCCTGCAGTGCAATATACCGATATGTCTGCATCCCTGAACAGATCACAGATCACTGGGCCATCATGCAGAAGTCACCCCAGACATTGATGTCTGGCTTTTTGCTTTGTCAGAATAGCCATTTGTGAAAGATGAATGAGTAATCGGTGGGGGAGGTGGGAACTCTGGTGCCCTTACATACAGGCAGGCAGTGGCAACTTAGAGACACCAACTAACCCAGTCTTTGGTAAGAAAAAGGAAAAGAAGGAGTACCTACAGAAAAACTCCATAAACATGACAAGAACATGTAGCCTCCCAGCAGAAAGTGTTCCAATCCAGAATTGAATCCAAGATCCTGCAAGGCAGCAGCATTTAAATCCATGCTTATGTATTGCCCCTATTAGTAGATTTTATAATACACATACGGTATATTATGTGTAGGTTATTTATTTGTATACATTTATTTATATCCAGCAACCTGGGCTCTATAAAAGCTTCTTTGCTTTAAAATTAAAAAGAGACTTGTGCTTCTAAAATTGCTGTCAAACTAAATTTCCCAAGATGCCCTTGGCATACGGATTAGGTGCATGAGGAAAACAACACAGAGTTTTTAACTGCCAAAACCTGCTAGCTGTTGTTCAGTGAGGTACTGTATATACAAAAGACTGACACAAGGGATCAGAATACTAAAATATGAAATGCAGAGAAGGGTTAGTGTGGAAACCAATAAGAGCTGGTTATCAAATCCCTCAGTGTAAATAATGACCTACTGTAGATAACTGCTCTCATCCCATATGTGTCCAAAGATATAAGCAGAAAAGTGCGTAGTACCATAGTTAAAGTTTAAAAAAGGTATAGACAAATAATGTATATGTGGCTTCAGAGAAACCCAGGTGGTAAACACCTCCATTTGGCACAGGGTGGACTGTAGAAGTGTCTGGTTCAGCTGTGGACACCTGGACCAAATCTGACTTCTGCAGAAAACTCTGAGCCTGTGCTCTTACTTCTCTTCTCCATCCACTGCCTCAGCTCTGCTGCTTGTGCTGTAGGGGCTCACAATGTGAAACATGTACAGTAATAAACAAATTACCGTTCAAAGACTTTTTGGAAGGAAATAAGGAGGGGAAGTAGATTAGTGATGCACAGCCGTTGGCACAAGACATACTGTACAGCATGTTTATTGTCGGTGGATTTCTTTCCCTGTGGATCACTGAAGCAGTCAGGGTATTGAAGCAGACCTAGAAAATAGCAAGAGACGTATTTCAAGATGGGACTCACTTGATGTTGTCCAGACGACTGGAGTCAGGTTTGAGGGCGGAGGTGTTGCGGATCATCTTGTGCAGCGTGATCATCAGGAACACCAGGTTCAGCTGCAGGGGGCAAAGGGCAAAGGTTACCCAGATTCATTAAGGAGAGAAGGTGGATTTACACAAACAGACAAGAAAGTTCACATACTGAAACCTTATTTATTAATCATTAAGTACAGTACATAACTCATATCTACATCTTAGGAAACAACAGGTGTACAAGGTGTTTAGTGTCACCTAAACCTTTCACAATGTTGAGAAAATCAAGGGAAAGTTTAACATGATGGTAAAGTGCTTTTATAACATTTTTTTATTAAATGTGAAACAACATTGCTACAATACAAAAAAAAAACAGGGTAGCTAATGATTTCATACAGAATGTGAATGTTAAGTCGTACATAACTTACAATGCCCCAGGTCTCTACTGTGCTGGAATTACAATAGCATCATGTAAATAAGTGGTGTCTATCTCCATATGTATAATATCAACAAAATGGATCCGAATGTGGACTAGGGTCAGGTCACTCCGTAATCAACTCTTGATCTGATTTTTTGGCTGCAGCTAACCCAGTTCATTCTTAGCTTGAGATCAAGAAGGGGGTGGTCAGAGTAGAAGGCTAATGTCAAAAGACTCAGCAAAGTCTCTAACCATAAAATGCTTAGGTTGTGACCCGCAAATGTGTTAATAGTTGTTGTGCCATTATATGTAACTCATTTTTTAAAGCTGCTGTACGGAAGACAACGCCAAGCCATGTTAATCATTTTAGGTGAGCAACTGAAAAATATTGTTTGGTCACCTCCCAGTCTGTAAGGCACACATACTGCACATGTACTGGCCTTCACATCCACTTTTAGTTACAATAAGTAAAGAGGCATGAAGATGCTGTGCCTACAGTGTATGGAGAGAAAGACACTCACCATGATGACAAAGGAGACCGGTCCAATAAAACTCCAGATGAAATAGTTATCAACTCGCAGCCAGCATCTAAGAAATAGAACAGACAAATTGCCACTCCTCTCTGTCCCTTGATAATGATAAAAAGGCAAATCTTAATACGGACAATGTAGCACTCCAACTTATCCTGCCCTTAATACAGACACCAAGACATGCTATTCTCAGCTCTTAATACTGATGCCAAGGCACTGCACTCTGCCTTTGTGATGATACCATCCTAATGCTCACTTTCCTCCAATTTAATCTGGAACATTTCTGACAGGACACTGTATAAATGTACACATCAGTGATGTTACTTCAGGATCCAGCTGGACTTTTGACATTTTTCATTTAGTTGGGCCAGCTGGACTGGCAGACACTGCATCACTATTACTCTCTGCAGATGAAGAACCCTATTATGTCCATTATTAAGAAGGGATGAGGTGTGGGGAGGGGGTGGTAGTGCTTTAGAAAGAGCTAAGGAGCTGTTAGTGTGATTTATTTCATTGTGTTTTGCACATAAACAAGCTGCATTTGTAGTTTACCACAGATGAGTCATGTACAGTATGTACTGTATACAGCTAGTATAGAAAGCCACCACCCCCTTTCAAAATGTTCACCTTTTGTTGCCCTAAAGCCCAAAAAGACAAATAAAATCAAACTTTTTCCAGTTTTATTTATAAATTGTACCTTGCAACATCCAAGTAAAAAAAGAAAGCAAAATGTCTGAAAAAATAAAAATAAAAAAGTAGAATAAGTGGGTTGAATAAGAGAACACCCCCCAAGTTAATATTTGGTGGAAGTACATATTGCTTGAATTACAGCCTTAAGTCTGTTCGGATACATCTCTACCAATCATCTCCTGACTTGTGCCTTTCTACAACTTTTCTCTAAGTCCTTTTGAAATCACCTTTCTGTAGATTCTTTGCTTTGAAATGCACTTCCAAGCAGTGAAATCTTCTTGAAACAGCTGCTTATATTCTGAACTAATCGAAATCACCACAGTTGATCACCGGTGGGAGCCCATTAGTTTCTTCTGTGATCTGTAAGGTGATCGGTTATACCTGAGCAAATTTACAATTGCAATTGTAAGGGGGTTGTTCACTTATCCAAATAAGGTATTTAACTGTTGCAATTTTAATTAATTTTCAGACTGCTTTAGAATTTTATTTTCACTTGGCTAATGTGGGTTACTGTGTGTAAATAAAAATGGAACAAGCCTAATTTAATTTGTTTTTATTTTCAGAGTGTCATACAACAAAAGGTACAAATTTTGAAAGGGGGTGGTGGCTTTCTATACCTGCTGTACAGTATATACAGTATATGTGTGTGTACATACAGTATGACTTGGTGATTAGCTGTACAGTGTCACATACTGTATATGTATTGTAGTAGAATATTGCAACAACCATGCACTCCTACACACAGCCTGAAATAGCTGCGTACCATGTCCTTCCTCTCATGAGCCCCATTACAGATGCAAACAGTGGTAACGAGGAGCCTCTTGATGTGCAATTCATTGATTTGACTGTCATTTTAATCCAAAGCAACTTACATTAGTAACCATTTATACAGCTGGGTATTTTACTGTAGGGAGGCCCAGTTGCACAGTGGTTAGCATTGCGGCCTTGCAGTACTGTGGCCCTGGGTTCAATTACAGACCTGGGGTGCTATCTCAGTGTATTTTTTATGTTCTCCCTATTATAGTGTGGATTTCCTCAGGGAGTTTCCTCCGACAGTCCAAAGACATGCTGGTAAATTACTTGGCTTCTAGGAAAACTGGCCGTGGTGTGACTGTATGTGTCTTTGTGTGCCCTGTGATGGACTGGGATCCCATTCAGGTTGTATCCCACCTTAAGCCCATTGCTTTTTGGGATAGAATGCGGCTCTCCTGTGACCTTATATTGAATAAAGCAGTTTAGAAAATGGATGTAAATGATGGCGCAATTCAGGAGATGTACCTCGCTCAAGGTTACAATATCAATATCTCAGCTGGGATTTGAACACATAGTCTACCGGTTACAAGCCCAGAACACTAACTTTCCCATTATTTTACCAAGTTTCGTTACTTCATAATGAGGTCAATAAATGTAAGAAGCACACTTAACATAAGAGTACAGTAACATAAAGGGCACTGCTGGTTTAATTAGTGTCTTTTGTAGACGTGTGCTGTATACCTGTAGATAAAGTGGAGTTAACTTTGGGAAATGGTCAGAACATGGAACCTGTTAGGAAAAGGGGTTTGAGGATACATACGCTTTCTTGGTGCCATAGCTACGGTAGTCAATGGCTGCTGAGATGCCCACCACCAAAGCAGGGAAGCAGTAACCGCACAGATAGTAGTATTTCTTGCGGGAATACTCGCTCTCAAAGACCTCCACCAACATCAGGTACAGGTGCACTCCTTCCAGGCACATCCAAGAGAAAGCAGCCAAGAAGAAAAAGTGCAGAAGGCCAGCGAAAATGGGACAGGCAATCTGAAAGAGAGAGAAGGAGACCAGGGATCTGTTCAGGCCAACAAATAATTATACACTTGCTTACACTTATATAGCGCTTTTCTGGACACTCCACTCAAAGCGCTTTACAGGTAATGGGGACTCCCCTACACCACCACCAATGTGCAGCATCCACCTGGATGATGCGATGGCAGCCATAGTGCGCCAGAACACTCACCACACATCAGCTATCAGTGGGGAGGAGAGCAGAGTAATGAAGCCAATTCATAGAGGGGGATTATTAGGAGGCCATGATTGGTAAGGGCCAATGGGAAATTTGGCCAGGACACCAGGGTTACACCCCTACTCTTTTCAAGAAATGCCCTGGGATTTTTAATGACCACAGAGAGTCAGGACCTCGGTTTTACGTCTCATCTGAAGGACGGCACCCGTTTACAGTATAATGTCCCCATCACTATACTAGGGCATTAGGATCCACATGGACTGCAGGGTGAGCACCCCCTGCTGGCCCCACTACCACCTCTTCTAGCAACCTTAGTTTTTTTCCCAGGAGGTCTCCCATCCAGGTACTGACCAGGCTCACACCTGCTTACCTTCTGTGGGCTGCCAGTTGTAAGTTGGATGATAATACTCCTACCTCATTTTAAGGGGGATCCACAGTACAATCTTCATTTTTTTAGGGTCATCAAAAACACCAGAATATAACTGATTTATTATGTGAGACATGGCCCCTATCCGGACCACATTCCCAGAATTCTCCAAGGGAATTGCTTATTCTCATTCAGCTGACTAGTTTCAGAAAAAAGAAAAGAAGGAAGCAGAGACTTCCTGTTTCGGTCAGTGGAATGCTGGGTGCAGAAGACAGACCACTTGTGCTCTCCACAAAGGGAGAAGGATTAACTGAAAACCAAACTGAGTTTAGTGAAACTGACCTGTGAGTTTTAAGCATTTAGAAGTTTTGAGGGGAGTCACAGGGGAGACTGTGTAAATAGTAATACCTGTGTAAATACTGATAAGAACTTAGCAGATCAGCTTCGATAGACTAGTCATGGACTTTGTGAAGATGTTTGATTAGGAGCTAAATAAAAGAGGTTGGTTTGGTTTTGTATTTTTTCCCCTCACTATAAATTGCTCTGATGTTTTTATTTAACTCCCCAGCTGTATTTTTGGTGTATTTTAAAGATCCCATTACAACAAGTCAATTGGGCTCATATGTACGGTGGGACTACAATCGTGACACATGGTTGACTTTCTGATATGCATTGTCAACTGAGTGTCCTTATTTAACAGGCACTTTGCTTCTGAAATTATGTCAACCAACTGACCATAGGTGGATTCCAGCCAAGTTTTAGAGTGATCTCACAAGGAAATTAGAAGCTCAGTGATGCTAGACCTGGGCTCAGTGTCATAGTAAAGGGAGTGAATGCTTATCAAATCAAGAACATTTCAGTGTTTGTTTAAATAACATTTACAGAGTTCCCAAACATTCATTCCACTTTGTCATTGTATAGATATATGCGTAGATCAGTAACAAAAATGTCTATTATAAATGTAGGAACAAGTAAAGGTATATTCCATTAAGAAACACAATCTTGCGGCTGTGGAGCCTTCTTTGGGCATTATATTAAATACAATATAAATGTATTTCTATTTGAGTTTGCAGCAGAACAAATTCAGAACATTTTCACTGCCTTTTGATGTTGTCTGAAGACACTGTACAGTATCTCTCTTGCACCCACAAAGAATGGTGAAACATTCTTATTGCATAGAGGCTCATATTGCAGTCTGTCCATACTCACGTCGTATTGAGTCTTGTCGATCCCAATGAGAAACAGCAGCTCTGCGATGAACAGGTTGATGCAGAGGTTCTTGTGGATAGTGTTGCGGTCAGTCTGCAGTCCACGGAGGAAGCAAAAGGTGGAGATGCAGATGGCCAGACACACCAGCGAGATGACGATGCCCACCCAGGTGATGACAAACAGGATTAGCTCATGCATCCGGCCTGGGTACTGAGGGGCATGGGGAGAGAGGGAGAGAGCCATCAAAGAACTGAAACCACTGATATGTCACGATATTAGTTCCCCCTCCTTAATGGTGCTCCAGCCCCTTTACTTAAGACTTTATTCTCTGCACCTGTTCCCTATTTCCAGCCCACCTTAAAAGCCAGGCGCTGACGCTCATCCGGGCTCTGCATCTGATTTCCATATCGTGCGAGTCTGGGACCTGGAAGCGCCTGGTCCCGTTAAGGTTTTAATCTCTGTTACCGTTCCCGTTCCCGTTCCTGTTCCCTCTCCGCCGGTTCCGACCCGGCCTTCGTGTTTTTAATTCCTTCTTCTGATGGATCTCCTGGTTTTGGACTTACTCGTGTGTTTTGGATATTCCCTAAGGACTACTCTCTCGGATTGTTCGCCTCGGCCACACCTGCCCCGTGCACCAGCGCACCTTGGACACGCCCCCCTGTCTTCTGCCCCGTATTCCTGCATGATGTTTCCCTAGTGTTTCCCCACTCCGTCGGATTGTGTCATCCGCATAGGGTCCGGAAAGAACTGTTCGTTACACTGATAAAACAAATTTGCAGATTTTCCAAAGCTCCACAGCAGTGCAGCACGTGAACTTAGTAAATGAACACAGTATGGTTGACCATACTGTAAGTCTGGTTGTATGAGTGTGTTTGCAGCAAGAAATCTTGCACTATGAAGAGTGAAGTGATTTACTGTGTCTGTGATTTATCATGAATGCACGAGATACTCTGGAATGTAGAGTGTACACATTTGTTCTGTGCATGTGTGTCAGTGTCTGTCTCACTTTTGTGTATCTCACAAGGTGCCCAAGAACTCTCTCACTGTGTCTGCAGACAGTGGTGAGTGAGAATGACCGTGCCAGTGTTGCCAGTCCTACCACAGGGTCGTGGTGCGCCATGAGCACGGCGAAGTTGGTGAGGTGGCTGCATGAACAGGTGGTGTGGGTCTTGTTGGTCTCCACCAGTCGGCAGCCCTGGGAGGACCAGTAGCCCATCATGGTGCGCTCTGAGTAATTCCAGAAGGTGCAGTTGGGGCTGTAGTGGTTCTCCAGCTGTAGAGACAAGGAGGGCAAGAAGGACAGGAGTTCAACAAAAACTGCAGAATTTTGTTTTAATTTGCATACTGAAGCAGACTCACAAGGGCAGTGGAAAAGAGAGGTAAAACTCTAAATGTGCTATCTAAAAAATCAAACATCAACATGCTCTCCTATTCAGTCTCTTTACATCTGTTTCGTGGGATCTGGAGTACTGGGGACAATCAGTCACTTAGAAAGCAAATTAGACTCTGCTGATACTTGGACACTACCATCTCCAGAACCTGGAGAAATTATGGGCCTATTAGAATTGTTAGGCACCTATAATGTATGTGTTGAATGAGAAAAAAATGTGCCAGGGAGTTTAACAAAACCCTTATATTTATAGCAATGACTTGAACTGCACTGCCTTCTGCTGATCCTGAGATACTACGCAGTAAGTCATGAAATAGTATATTGGTCAACATTACACAGTCTTGTTACACAGTGTGCTTGAATTTAAATAGGAGTTCATGGCTTCTGGTGAAGTTTGGTAATAAACAAGGCATTGCTCCTCTAATTAAAATATTCTGATTCTTCCCACAAGCTACAGTAATTAATTCCTTGAGATCAGAGGTCACAAGCAGGTCTGTCTGTTGTTAACTAAGCAGTGTAGCTTTGCTCTCATTTTAAACATCAACTTGTTTGGACAGGAAGAGTAACCAAGTGATTTTTTTTTAAATTGGAATTTGTGTGTTATTATTTTGCTGTCTTTAAAAAGCCAGTGGAAGTACCTGGAGATGCTGCAGGGTGAAGATGACGGGTTCGGTCAGGTAGATACGGCTGGACTCCTTGTTGATGGAAGCTGAGATAACATGGGAGTTGACCACCAGGCCCTTGTTGGGTGAGCCAGGCTCTAGTTCCATTTTGACAGAGGCATTCTCCGTGGACAGGAACGGTCCCAGATTCTTGTAGAGCAAAAAGACTACCTTCACAACCCCTGTGCAGAGAGGAAGCATCAATAACACAGGTTCAGTGCTGTGACAGAAAAGTCAGGGGACAGATTAAACAGGTGCCACTTTACAGAGTCAAGGATTCAAATCCCACAATCAACATCACATACTGTACCTGGCTATATATGTGGAGACAAATACCAGAAAGCAGTACACAGAAATAACTTTTACTGAGCTGCAGATAATCTCCTTAAGCATTTTTCCAGCTCAGCCCAGCTATTAACACCTTGCAGAGAAAGCAAAAAAGACTGAATGACCATGGCTTGAATGACCAAGATTTTGAAGTTTTATTATTCAAACAGCTCGGAGTTAGCCACGTCATTTCATATTTCTGATGTGGAGATTTACTGTATATTAAAAGAAGACTGACGCGTTACTGTGTAACTTGAAAGTGTCTGAACTTTACTAGAGGTTAATAGTTGTATTGATAAAGGGCAGAATGTTCACATTTAAATGTGTACCTCTGTCTCTATCATTTTTAATTTATTCCGTATACACTCTGCTGGAGAAAACAGACATTCTACAAAAGAGTCATTCTAAATGTCAGGGCTAACAGCTCAAAGATATCCACATCACAGATGTGCGAAGGTGAGGGACCAGGAAATTCTGTGATGCCACACCATATGCCTGAAAACTGCACTCAAACACCTGCCTTCCCTGCCAATAGCATGGGTGAAGGTGACAATTAACCCTGTCTACTGTCTCTTTCTGAGAGTCTTCAGGAAGGTAGAGCACGAGAGCTGTATTCAAAGGCACGTTGCAAAGGCATGTTGGTTTAGAACAAAGAGACCAAAGTTCTTGAAGTAAAAAACAATTATTGAAAAAAATGTGCTTGCACTAATAAAATTCACACACACAAAAATACTGTATATCACCCAAAGTAGCACTGGCACAGGGGTGATTTGTTATATATTAATTTATCTGAACCATAAATAAATGAAAGGCTCTTGATTTGTTTTTTCAAATGATGGGAATCGGGCACAGGGAAGCAGGTGAATAAGGAAAGAGGGATAGATGAGAGCGCAGGATTAGACAGCAGGGAGATGGAGAGAGAGTGAGAAAGGGGAAAAGAGATAAATGAATAAGAGCCTTTTTAAAATTGACTGATTTTTTTTCTGACAGCGCGGATAATCTAACACCGTCTTTCTCCTTTTTTATTCTAACAAAATGCACGGGGATGATAAGACAGATGAGAGGCACTCAGTGTAGCTGCTTATCTTCTGCCCAATACCTACCCCCGCACACAAATCTACCCTCGCCTCTCTCGGTCCCTCACAGCCTCACACAACAAAGTGAGTGACAACAGGAGGGGCGCACCACACAGACTCCTCTTCCTATCTCGTTGTCTCTCCATCTTTCCCTCATTCTCTCGCCACGTGCTTCTTCAAACAATTACTGTACATACTGTAGTCCTGCAAAAAACTCACTCCCAAGCCTCGTTTCTCGCTAAATTGCATGGGCTTGAGCCTGCCATATCTTACTGAGGTCGTCACAGAGCCACTTGAGCCAGAACACAGGAGCGATCCTTCAACAGAGTTTGGCTCATCTTTGTTATCTGATGGGTCACAGTGTAATGTTCCCGGAGCCCCTCCAAGAATTCTTCAGTGTTCCCCAATCACAGCATGGATGGAGCAGTTTGTTCCACAAACCCATAGAAAAGCCTCCTGTTGTCACTCCTAAGCTGAGAGCTGCTCTCGTTCCAACAGGTCTTATTCTAGTCTTAATTGACTATAGCAACATCCTGGGTGACCTGGTTCATTTTAGAACGTGATGTATTCTGGTTTGTTAGAGTAGCTCGTACCCATTGCTTTCAAAGAAATAATTCTGAGGAAATGAAGAAGTGAAAAGGGCTGTGCTAGCTCACTCAAAAGGTTAACTGGAACCCATTCCTCCCAGATAAATTATTTAAATAGATTGTTCAATGACGTGTTGAAATCTTCAGACCAACAAACAGGCTTCTAACAACTGAACGAGCAGCTGGGGTCAAGTACCTTGCTGTTGCTGTATGTGCTACCGTTACAGAGCTCTTATGTTGGGGATAATCAGAGACAATAATTTGAGCCAAATCTGTGCTCTTGTGCATTAACTAACACCATCCTGCTTATTTCTTTTCTTCATCCATCATGCATGTTGGGAGAATCAGGTGCAGTGTTTCAGGACATTCAGGGCTCCTGGGAAGCCTGTTGTTGAGACACAGGGACATGTCCCCCACACACACTTGAGATCCCCCCACTCCTGCTCTTTGTTTCAGAGGATTTCAGTCTTCTCGAACAGGCACGTTTTGGGAATGACAGAAGCCATCTTATCCACTCTGCCTTTGCGAAAAGCCAAATGCTTCTCAAGTCTCAAGTGAAAACCAAGCAGGGGGAAAAAATATGCTGATTTTTAAATTCTCCTCCAAGTTGCATCACATGACCCCACGTTTAGCTTCCCCTAATATTTTGGAATCATGAAGTGGCTGAGCCCTGTGGAGATGGAACAGATGCAAAAGTGTCAGCCAGCGCAGAGCAGCACACTGATGTAGCTTGAAAGTCGGATTGTTGTTTTCTCCCCAGTAACGTTTTTGTTGTTGGTCTCTTTTCAGCTTTTTTTCAGACTACTTCCAAGAGCTCTGACATATGAAAAGGGCAGCCTTAACTCAAAAGAAAACATCCCTGTGTCAGAACACTAAGCACAAAAGGGAGGAAGCACAAACACACATTATCTGGTAGGTCTTGCGTTTTGTGTCAAGCAGGGCCTAATGCAGACTGTGGTGCTTATATGCAATGTATACAGTATATGCATGTTCCAGAATAACTGAAAGATCTGAAAAATTCCAGGCCTTTTCTCGAAAAGAGTAGGGGTGTAACCCCGGCATCCTGGCAAAATTTCCCATTGGTCCTTTCCAATCATGGCCTCCTAATAATCCCCATTTCTGATTTGGCTTCATTACTCTGCTCTCCTCCCCACTGATAGCTGATGTGTGGAGAGGGTTCTGCCCCACTATGGCTGCAGTCGCATCATCCAGGTGGATGCTGCACATTGGTGGGTGGTGAAGGGGATCCCCGTTACCCGTAAAGCGTTTTGAGTAGAGTGTCCAGAAAAGTGCTATATAAGTGTAAGCAATTATTATTATTATTAATCTGTACTACACTCTATACTTATGGAGCATGATTCAATGTGCTGAACTCTGCACTCCCTTATTGATCGCTTAGTTTAAGGACAGACAAATTTGGATCAGCCATCCTTGCTTCTCTGTTTGTATTAGGGGGCTGAGGGGTACAGAAGATAGTGATCTATTCAGAATGAATAGTCTTTGCAGAAAAGCATAGCTGGTAGGGCACAGCCAAGTTCATATACCACTCTGAATAGCGGCAAAATACTTGGGATGGCAAGTTTGTTGGGGAAGGGGACATTTTCACAATGAAGAGTTGGAATAAAAAATTACTCCTATCCTCAAAGCTGTTGAAAAAATCCAGCCCATACAGTATATTCTTTCAGGATCAGCAGTGAAACATAAACCCGAGGATACAAATGGAAGCAAAGCTTAAGAAAATTTTAAACCCAGAACAGTAGAACACAACATGGTGTTTTCCAGGAAAACTGACAAAACTGAAGTAATCATAGACAAATGAATAGCATGTCTATTATAATCAAGATTAAAGAAACAAAACAATTAGTCATTAACTAAGGGATCATCTGTATGGCAGGATGAGTCTAGGGGTAACATGTCTTGGAGTTAGAAATGGAGGACTTCGTCATCTCACTTGTTAGAAATTTTTGAATGAATAACAGCAGTAAGAAACATCCTGATATCTGATGGCATATTTAGATTTTTGTAGGGTTTCTGATAAGATTCCTTATAAAAGATGCATCCGCGTTAATGCATTTATTTGGGCTGAGAATTGGTTAATGTATAAGAAAACGCACAGACAAGGGGTGCCTGTTCAAGCAGAGGAGAATGTTGTATGCGGAGTACCACAGGGATCTCTGTTAGGACCACTGTTGTTTATCATTTATAGCACTGACTTTATGTCATTGAGATTGTAGTACAGTTCCTAAATTAGTCATGTTCACAGATGACACCAACACAGGAAGGTAAATAAATGCTGTTGAAGTAGAAAAGGGAGTTAAATAGGATTTAGGAAAAATTCAAGTATCAAATGACATTTAATGTAGACAAGAGCAGATGAGTTCATGATGGTAATTATAAAATATAATAAACTATAAATTTAACAGTGTACTTGATTGAACTCTAGTCATAACAGTATACTTTTGGTATGTGGTCTGGAAAAGTGCATCGCACAGCAAATCATTGGATCACGAATCAATTTTTCCCAAAAGGATTAATGTAAAACAGGGAAGTTATGCGCTGGGACTCAGACATTCAGTCTGCACACTTGCAAAAAAAAGGATTTTGATGCATTGATTCCTTTCTTTTAATACAGTAACAGTGCACAAAATGAAAGTTGTTCATTAATGAACGTTTCCATTTGTTGTTTCACACAATACAGTATTAAAGACATACTATAAATAATTGTTTCTACTTCTGCTTTAACACAAGTACACTGCATATTTATGGATGCAGTATGGTTATATATATATATAGTGCATTACAGCATAAAATAAAGATAAAACCCTGGGTTCTTACAATGTGATGTACAGTCCTGTAGTTTGATGAGTTTATGTGCTCTGTTGCCTTATTGCTAGTATACATGTATGTGAAACTCTGGGCAATGGAAACAAATTCTGGTATTAGTATTTGCAAATCAATGGATAAATAAAGTATAAAGGGGTATTACTGCACATACTGCACAAGCTAAGCAGGTGTGAGCCTGGTCAGTACCTGGATGGGAGACCTCCTGGGAAAAACTAAGGTTGCTGCTGAAAGAGGTGTTAGTGGGGCCTGCAGGGGGCGCTCACTCTGTGGTCCACATGGGTCCTAATGCCCCAGTATAGTGTTGCGGACACTATACTTTAAACAGGCACCATCCTTCGGATGAGACATAAAACCGAGGTCCCAACTCTCTGTGGTCATTAAAAATCCCAGGGCGTTTCTCGAAAAGAGTAGGGGTGTAACCCTGGCGTCCTGGCCAAATTTCCCATTGGCCCTTATCAATCATGGCCTCCTAATAATCCCCATCTATGAATTGGCTTCATTACTCTGCTCTCCTCCCCACTGATAACTGATGTGTGGTGAGTGTTCTGGCACACTATGGCTGCTGTCACATCATCCAGGTGGATGCTGCACATTGGTGGTGGTGGAAGGGAGACCCCATTACCTGTAAAGCGCTTTGAGTGGAGTGTCCAGAAAAGCGCTATATAAGTGTAAGCAATTATGAATTATTATTATTTTTACATATGGAAAAAACTTGGGTGTTGAATGTAGACACATAACTTACATCTTCTAGACAACAATGGAAAGCAATACAAAAGGCAAGCAGAATGAACAGAATGCACGGATAAATGTGCAGAATCGAAATCGGCAAAAGTTAAGTTAAAATTATAGAATATACTTACATTATAGTAAGTATAGGTCTTATAATAAGACCTAATTTGGAATATCCTGCATAATTGCATATCAAAATATATATTGTTGTTCTGGGATCAGTGCAGAGAAGAGACATTCCCAGATACATGTACATTCAAGGAATGTCTATTGCATAACTATAAAAGAAAAAGGAATGTCTAAAAGACGATATACTGTGCTACTGACAGACGAAAAGAACTGAATGTTTTAGTCTGGATCTGAGAATGCTAAGAGGGAATGTTGATTCCAGATCCCCAAGGGGATTGACAAGGTCCCCATGGACAGCAAAACACTGGAGGAAACTGCTGGGAAGTGTATTAAAAACTGCAAACAGCAGACACTTCTTTACACAAAGGGGTTTAGGAATCCAGAATTATCAAATTGTTTAAGCTGATATCCTGGGTCCTTCTAAGCAACAGATGGATGGGATCCCTGGATCAATGAACTACTAATAAAAAAATTACCAAAGGGGCTGTACTGTATGATTTGAATGTTTTCTTTTCACTTTTAACCTGTCTTAAGTTAACATGTCCGGACATAAAGTGTTATGAACAAGCTGCCAGAGTCCTTTTAAAGACGATTTCCTCTTTTCCTCCAACAGACGGCTAGACTAGGACTTTGGATCAATTGCCAATGAGAAAGATGAACTAAATAGCCTCTCCTCTTGCCCATGAGCTTTTCTGACACTGTATCAATTTTCTAAGGGTGTAACGTGAACATTCGAGGACCAGTGAAGTACTATTGCCCCAACCTAGGGATACACATACTGGTCATACTTTGACCTCACATCCACCAAACCAGATCTGAGCACTGGAAATACCAGGCAACAGAGAGCTCTGCATCCTGCGGTCAATCTACTATGGGGCAAAACCAGAAACTACCCCCTAGTGTTAAACCGTTTCAGAGTCTCACCTGTGCGGCTGTTCTGCTTGATAGTGGAAGCAGAGAGCTGGATGGAGCTGTCACTGGGGAAGGACTGAGGAAAGGATAGATTCTGCAGGTCTGCCTCTGTGTTCAGGACCCAAACTTCAAGAGCTGGTAAGAGAGAGAGAGGGGTTAGTGTGCTGGCAGAGAGACAGGGGTGATTACAGTGACCCCACTGCATTGAAAGAGGAGTTCCTCAGTGTAAGAGTGCCAAACTACATCACACTGCCAAGGCAAAAATTGGGGGACCATTTCCCTAAACTACGTAGGAAAGTGGAGCATGTCATTTCCTGTTTTCTGAGTGATCTCCTATCTAGCTATATTTGTCAAATGTGCAACTTTATTCAGCAAAAACACCAAAACTAAAGGATACACCTGACCTGGATGACTCCACCAGCAACTACCACCTGTTACAGTAAAGATAGGGCTGTATAATTATAAACCTTATTTTATATATTGCCTTTAAAAGTAACTCAAATGTTAACAAGTAGAAGTGGTAACAAAATTTGGACAATAAAAAAAACAAGCATAATGCAGAAGAAGATGAAAGGGGCAGACACAGATCAAATGAGTAAAAGGCTTTCTCAAGAAAAACGTTTGGAATCTGGATTTTAATGCATAGATCACTCTAGCTAGGTAGATGACTCTCATATCCTTGGAGATAGAATTCTGGAGCTCTGGGACAATTACAAGAGAAGACCCTGTCCATAGATTATGGGCAAGCTTGGGGGACAAACAGGAGTCACTGACTATCAGACTGTGACAGAAAGTTTCTAAAGCTAAGTAGGCATTAGAGTTGGGATCATATGCCCAATGACTTCTCTGGCATCTCTTGCAGCACTTTAGTAATGTCATTGAGAGATGAATCATTCTTCCAATAGGCACTATCTCTCCTGTCAGGCACTGTTGAGCTTGCAGCTGAATACTTCAGAGAAGCACATCTGCATGAGACTCATTATCTCCCGAGCGAGTTACCAGAGAGCCAGGTTCTAAATGATATTTGCCGATTCCAAATAGTGTGGGCATATATAAGAAAAAAGAAGCTCTAACGTAAAAAAAGACAACAAATTCTGACTTCACAACAGCATGTAAAATTGAGAAGTTTTTAAGGAGTAGGCCCTGCGCCTGTCTCACCAATGTTGGTGCCCTTGTCAGTGAACTTGGACTCGTAGAGGTTGTTAGCCAGCAGGAATGCCCCTTTCTCCATCACATCCAGCAGCATGGTGGCTGTGTGGGCCTGCTCGGTGGAATTCATGTCCTGCCAGGAGTCCAGAGCGTCTGGGCGCAGGAGGTTGTCCACTGTCTGTACCACTGCCTGCAACATTCAGGAGACAAAATCACAGCAGGAGAGACAGTCAGAGGAACACGGAGAGACAGGGGCATAGAAACTAGCTTGAGAAAGAGAGACAGAAGAATCTAACCCAGGAACAGGGAATAAGAAAACACTGAAATAACACAGAAAGAGGGTTTATCAGAGGAACACGGAGAAATGGGGGAATAGAAACTAGCCCAGAGAAAAGAAGAAACTAATCCTGGAAAAAATAGAAAGAAGACAGAAAAAACACCAGAAACAAAGACTTTGACAGAGCAACATTGGAGTAACAGGAGAATAGAATAGCCCAAGAAAAGAGAGAAAGAAGAAACTCACTCAGGGAAAGAGAGAAATACACAAACACAGCAAAAGATGAATACGGATAAAAAAGAAATAATAACAGAGAGAGGCAGTAGAAAATGGACAGCATGTAATGGAGAGAGATATAATTTACCACAGGGAATGAATGAGAGAGAATGGGAGACAGACAAGGTCAGTTTAACTCTTACACAGGAGAGAGAAAGACAGGTACTGTAAGTGGAGTTACAGTGACAGAGAGTGTAGCAAAGTTTTAAAAAAGAGGGAGAGAGAACAAGATTGACATCGGTAGAGAAATAGCATTAGAGTGAGAGATATTGAGAAATAGAGAAACATTAACATTCGGCTTATGGAAATGATATATTTCTTTAGAATGATGTGCCATGTGACCTTGGCATATGACGATCTTCTCATATTTTAAGAAAAGAAGAGGATATAGTGTTTGAAAAGACTTCAATGGTCCAACATTTTTCAAAGGCCTGAAAAAGCATTCCAATATATTCTCTCTTGACATTTCCTGATGTTCCCTCTCTACTTTTCTTCTCACTGCTTGCCTTGAGAAGCCCTTTCACATGGTAATTGCTTGTTGCAGTAATGAAACTGTATAAGCCAGAGTTTCTCAACTGGAGTGCAGCAGAGCAGTGGTGTGCCTTTAGACAGTAACAGATCTGCTCCACTATTTTGGAAAAGTTAGGTATGAGAGAAAACAACGTTTAATATTGGTTAGATGTATTAGATCTATTAGTTTTGGTCAGGATAGTAGTGCAGTAGGGTAGGGTTCAATTCTGGACCAGGGGTACTCTCTTTGTGGAGTTTGTATATTCTCCCCGTGTTCATATGGGTTTCCTCCAGTTACACCAGTTTTCATCCCACACTCCAAAGGCATACTGATAGGTCAATTAGGTCTTGGGAAAATTGTTCTGATGCAACTGTGTGGTTGTCTGTGTGTACCCTGCAATGGACTGGTATTCCATCCAGGGTGTATGCTGCCTTCTGTCCAATGCTTGCCAGGAAAGGTTCTGGCTCCCTCGCAACCCGTTATTGAATAAAGCAGTTAGAAAATGGATGGGTGTATTAGTCTGTGGAACAGAGAAAGTGTTGTGTTGTATGGTTGGTGTTCATTTAAGAGACAGAAGACTGTTCACGTGAGCTGGAGCACACCAGAGAGCAGCTGAACAAGAGCTCTGTCGTTCACTGTCAGCAGTTCCCGTCAGCTTACTGTATGTGTAACAGGACTGAGTGCACTGAGACACTTGCAGAAGGAACATCACCCCCCTCTGAAACTCTGAAAACTAGTGAAAAAAGCTGCCATTTGACAGTGTAAGACTGGCCTTTTGGTTCTGTGGTTCTTATCCACTGTCTAAGAACTGATCCTTTACAGGGACTGTGCTTGAATCCCAACAGAGGCAGAGTGCAACACAACAACGATGAGACAGACACTGATTCAAAATTGAAATAATACTATGCTCAGGGCAATGATGTGTATGTGTGTGTGTGGTGGTGGGGGGGTATGCCACTTCTTCTTTTGTATATTTCCAAAAGTGTGCCGTGAGATGAAAAAAGGTTCAGAAACACTGATATAAACAATCTAGGCCAGGTTTGCAACACCAGTAATTCAAAGAGGCTTTTCTGTGCACTGTACAAACAGAATAGGGGGGAACACATCAGAGCTGCTCATGGCACAGAACACTTGAAAGAAGCCAAGTAAAGAAAAGAGATTCCTAATGACAAGGACAGAGGACCAAACAAAAGAAAGAAAAAAACATGATGCCCTGTGTGTGCAGAAAATATCTCTTGCACAAACGGGACATTCCTCTCATGTGAGACCCAAGGACCGAAACGAGAGCAAAGAATCAGAGACTGGCGTCCAGGGTGACAACAGAATTTAGAGGAAACTGAGGTGACAGGAGAATTGGGTAGGAGCCTGACTGAGGTGACGTTACCTGGATATACGCTCTGCAGGTGCGCTCCCTCTTCTGTAGCTGAAAAAAAGAAGTTTTGTTAACCATTACAGGAAAAAAGGCAGGACCCTATTCCCCATTCCCTAGGAATGGTTTCATAGGGCATACAGTACTTAATATTCATTATGATGCTCCTAGCTGTAGAGAATGACAGATTGTATACACTTTTCTCTAGATACTGTATTCCCTCAGCCTTGCATGTGGAGATGTGATTTTTGATGTTGATGTGCTTTGGAAAAGAAGTATTGTAACAGTACACTGTCTACCTGGCTGTATATAGGATGGAAAAGGAGAAGAATGACAAATAAATGCAGGTCAGGGTTCAATTTGAGACATTAACTTAGTAGAGGACTGAGGGCTTTGAGATTTCAAAGTTTAAAATAAAGTTCAGAATTATTAAGGAGTCACTCCTGTAAATACTTGTATTTTCACTGTGAAAGAAATCATTAGGCATGCTGTGTTTTTTTCTGGGGTTTTTTAATCCTACTTATTCCTGTGACATGTGAATGAAGCCACCACTTAGTACAGCAAACACAATGCAATTTCTCTTATTTCGCTTCATGACAAGTGTGCTACAGGGCATTCCATTGGAACCTAACTTCAATATGAGCTTGTTTTGGGATTTTGGGCAACTGACAACAGTGTCGGAAGTGACTTTTAAAGTTTTTGCTTGAACTTACTGTGGTGACATGAAATGTAACTACGCCCACAACAGCAGTAACATGCCACTTTCTATACAGTATTTCAGGACAGTCCTATTTTCTTCTGTCTCACCGAGTGATTACACTATTAGTAACTGCAGTGTCTCAGTACAGTAGTACACTGCAGTGTGTGGGAAGGGTGTTATCTGCAGTGTCTCAGTACAGTAGTGTGCTGCAGTGTGTCAGTGTGTGGGAAGGGTGTTATGTGCAGTGTCTCAGTACAGTAGTACACTGCAGTGTGTTAGGGTGTGGGAACGGTGTTATCTGCAGTGTCTCAGTACAGTAGTACACTGCAGTGTGTCAGTGTGTGGGAACGGTGTTATCTGCAGGTTCTCAGTACAGTAGTACACTGCAGTGTGTCAGTGTGTGGGAACGGTGTTACAGTATCTGCAGTGTCTCAGTACAGTAGTGTGCTGCAGTGTGTCAGTGTGTGGGAAGAGTGTTACTGTATGTGCAGTGTCTCAGTACAGTAGTACACTGCAGTGTGTCAGTGTAGGTGGAAGGGTTGTATTCAGTATTGCGGCAGTACAGTACTGTACCTTGTTGTAGTTCCTAGCAGCAGACTCCTTATTGCCTGGCTTCAGGGCCTGGAGCTGGGCGTCCAGAATGTCCAGCAGCTGCTCTATGAGCCGGACAGAGGAGCTGACATCCCCAGCATGGATCCTACCTCTAGTGTGGTTCACCAGCTCCCCAGCAATATTAGCTGCATTCTCTCCACTCTTAATCTGGAATTACACAATTAGAACCTCCTCAGTCCCTGTCAGCATTTTAGAGGATATACTGTATGCTTGCCTAATGCTATATTTAAAGGAAAATTGGAATTCTGGAGACCTAGAGCTGTTCAAACAATAAAGGCTCTTGCTCTGAGCACAGGTTCAGATCTGTGGATCTTGTCACTATCTGACAGGCCTGCGCCAGTTGGGATAATGTTAGAGACAGTGATTTCTTTGACCTGAGCTGTGCAGCAGATGAGATGCACTGCTCCTCCAGATGGCACAATCTGCCTGTAAGTCACAGTGGAGATTGCATTGTGTATCAAGATATAAAATACATTTACTGTATAAATCACTTGCAGTCTCATTTTGTTCAGTCTGGTAAAGTGTAAGCCTGGCTGGTTTCTTTTTTTTTTATATTGGCAGCAACTGTTCTCAATGGGTGAGACAATGAGATGGATACAGTGCAGTTTGGTGTTTCTCAAGTTTCCATCCTTCGTCCCCTGTTGTTTTGTTGTAAAGATGCTGCCTTCAGGACACATAGATATAACATATAAATGTAACTTTCATTTTTATGCTGGAAATACTCAAGATTCTGTGCCTCTCCAACCACAGGCAATCAAATTCTTACACGAGTGGCTATAAATTAGATTAAATTAAAGTTTGAGAAAATGAGAGGCATGCTGTGGCACACCCACCCATCAGAGACATTGATAGTGTGATTGGCTGCATGCTCCACAGTCCCTACAGGAGAGTTAACACTAAGGAGAGACATGTCCCTCAATGAAAGAAGTTGCTGTATCCACTACCAGTGACAGTGTTGTGGTAAGATTACCACTTACTGTTGCATGAGCCTAACCAGGCAGCATATTGCTTATTGGTCCCAACTGACCAGTGGCATGAACCAGGTTCAAAACAGCTAAATTTGGACCACAGGCTCGACATGCTCTCATGGTTTCATGGTTTTAAACTTGGACAAGTTTTTACTGGTGTAGCAACACAAGACTCAAGGTCTGCAAGAGTTCGAACTCAAGGTTGTGCTAAAAAATAAAACTTCTAACAAAATAGGATCCACTCTTCACAGAGTAATATACAAAGGCTCTCAAAATAGGGTAAGAATGGAGATGACCAACTTGTATTTTTCTGTTTATACTACATCACTTTACACATTCAAAGTTTTCGGGCTGTGTGCAATATTTTAATATATGCAGTTATGCAGTGTAAATGCTATGAACTTCCCTGTGCATGTTAAGTAGTCCGAAGTGTATCTGCTGTTTAGGCTACTAAAGATCAAGTTATGTGCTCTCAAGAAATTCAATATTTATTTTCTAAATAATCAATTGACAATTGATGTGACAATTTATGTCACTTCTTTAAAGTAAATGTTTTTGATCATTATGCACACTTATAAATAGCTACTGTCTCTTTTTAAATTTAAATTCCACTGTAGTATCATACCCAGATTTCAAAGACATACTGGTGGGTTAATTGGCTTCTGGGAAAATTGGCCCTAGGTGTGAGTGTACGTGTGTCTTTGTTTGTGTGTGTCCCCATGATGGACTGCAGTCCTGTCCAGGGTGTACCCTGCCTTGTGCTTGTTGCCCTGCCAGGATAGGCTAGGGCTCCCCCTATTTAAAGAAAATAGAAAATGGATGGATGTTGTATCATATATACTAATGGAAAAAAGAAACAACATTTTCTAGAAAAGAATACTATAGTTATAGCTTATGTACTTTTACAAAAAGTTGTCAATTTGTTTAAAGCCCTCTGACCAGCAATACAGCTTGTGCAGTGAGGCATTGCAGCTTGCCAATTACACGAAAGCTCATTAGGTGCACCTCTACTCAACGAGGTCTAGGTGGAACAATGCCTGATCAGAACACTTTTAAAAAGGCCTTAATTCAAAGCCTTGGTCACTGCAAGAAGAAGACCACAATTAGTCCGTTTTCTGTGCATTCCATAATGCCTCGAATGTCACCAGAAGCAAGCAGAGAGCCATTGGCATGCTGCAGGCAGGCATTGCCAGAAACTATGGAGTAAGCCGCTCCACTGTGGTCACAACTGCAGAGAAGGTTTCAGCAGACTTGCAGGACAGATGACTGTCCAAGATCCAGTCGCCCTCGAGTGACAACACCAGAGCAGGACTGTGTGATGTGATGACAGATCGTTTCAGACCTGCCACCCATACCGCTACTGAAACTGCCGGCAGACACAATGCCCGCATCAGTGACAAGACAGTGAGACTCCATGCTGCTGGCTTTAGAGCAAAGCGACCTGTCAGAGGCTCTCCACTCACACCCCCTAAACATCACACCCAACTGGCCTGGGCCAGACAGAGGCTGCGATGGACTCGTCAACAGTTGCATCAGGTCCTCTTCAGGGATGAGTCACTCCTCAGCCTGCTCCACACAGATGGGAGGGCCAGAGTGTGGAGGAGGAGGTGTTGCATTTCTTTTTAACATCAGTATATTTTGTCCTACCAGATAAGTAGGAAATACCCTACATAGTGGGTAAGTCCACCACTGCTAATGATGATACAGTAGCTACAACATGTCATAGCACTCATTCCAGAAAGTGTTCATAAATGTCTGGGGACATTTAAGACTGTTCAGGGATCTTCTCATTGTTCTCTTGGTTCAGCAGCTTCTTGTGACTGCCAACAGCCATTGTCTGGATGTGGAGGCTGTCTGAATTGACACTTTAACGAAGTCAGTGGTTTCCTCTAGCAACATCCCCGGTGAGATTGTTTACATCAATCTTTTCTCCATATGATAATGAAAATGCCTGGTGTGCTATTGCTTTACATGTCTTAGGAATCATGGTAGACATCAAAGGAAGGACAAATCAAATTTCTTTGATCAAAATTTGTAACTCATAAAGCACACTATTATTATATATTGTGGCAGGTTAGCATACCAAAATGGATAAACTTCCTACTCATTTTATGTGTTGTCTGATAGAAAAAACAGAATCTGGATAAACCCGTAGTGCAAGGTTTACATGCAGTATAAGTAGCTCAGAAGGAGCCATACCTTCTGTGCAACCTGGCTGACCCAAGGTGAGGTGCAGTTACTGAGGTCAGGACCCCGTGGATTCCACATGACTGGAGATGACAGGCACTGGAATGATGCAATACCTGTGAGAGACAGAGACAGGGAGCAGGGGGAGAGGATGGGAGGGTTACGAAAGAGCAAAGAAGACAGCGAGAGGAGGGAGAGTGAATGGGAACAGACAGCCATGGGGGAATGAGACAGTAAATAAGAGGGGGAAACCAGGAAGAGAAAAAGAGAGGAAAAAAAAGAGAGTCAGGAAACTGGGATACTGCAGATATTGTGATCTGTCCAAATGTAATCAAGCACTTTGGACAACATGTAGGGAAGTACTCTCAGAGAGAAGAATGAAATTAAGGGACTCCCATTGAGTCCCAGCAAGATTCAAGAACAGCTAAAAAACAAAGCACACATTATGAAATCAAATATTTGCATTCCAGCCTCTTTCATTCATTCTCTTCATTCAGTAGGATCCCTTTCAGCTGAGATAGTGACGAGGAACTGGATGTGCCTCCAGTTCAGGGGTTGGTGGGTTTGGCAGTGGTTTTCAAGGACACAGAGACCCGCAGTTTGCTGCAGCCATACTCCTCAAACCAGCCACACTTTGCCCACTGCTGGATAAGTCTATTCCTATTAATTTAATTGTGGCATCTTGTAGCTTGGTTCCAATCTGACTATATTTTATATTGGGTCCTGTAGCATAAGTGTATATCAAAATTGTTCATTACAAACACTGGTTAATGTTTTTTGTGTTAAAAACTGGTAGTTTGCTAGCATCATGGGTTAATTTAGGTTTTGTGAGATATTGTTTCAAAAATTAAAAATTGTCAGATGACATCAATCCAGTCCTATTATACCATTATTAAATACTTGCCGTTATCTGGAGAGAAGATGAAAATGCAGAATCATTAAGACAGCTACAGTAAGTGTTAATAGTGTAGACATGGAAGGGCAAGTTGGTGCAGTGGTTAGTGTTGCTACCTGGCTGCGCTGCAGCTCTGGGCTCAATTCTGGACCCAATTCTGGACCTGGGGTGCTATCTCTTTGGAGTTTGTAAGTACTCCCTATGCTGGTATGGGTATCCTCTGGGTGCTCTGGTTTCCACCTACAGTCCAAAGACATACAAGTAAATTAAGTGTCTTCAGTTAAAACTGGCCCTGGTGTGAGTGTCTGTGTTTTTGTCTGTACAGTGCCTTGCGAAAGTATTCGGCCCCCTTGAACTTTTCAACCTTTTGCCACATTTCAGGCTTCAAACATAAAGATATAAATTTTTTATTTT